TGTGGAGAAAAAGGAACACTCGTGCACTGCTGGTGGGAATGCAGACTGGTGCAGCCACTATGGAAGACAGTATGGAGTTTCCTCAAAAAACTAAAAATGGAACTCCCATTTGACCCTGTGATCCCACTTCTAGCAATATATCCCAGGAAACCAGAAATACCAATCAGAAAGGATATATGCACCCCTATGTTCATAGCAGCACAATTCACCATAGCTAAGATCTGGAAACAGCCTAAGTGCCCATCAGTAGATGAATGGGTTAGAAAACTGTGGTACATCTACACGATGGAATACTATGCTGCTGTAAAAAAGAAGGAACTCTTACCATTTGCAACAGCATGGATGGAACTGGAGAGCATTATGCTAAGTGAAATAAGCCAGTCAATGAAGGAAAAATACCACATGATCTCACTCATTCATGGATAATAGAGACCATTATAAACTTTTGAACAATAATAGATACAAAGAGCTGCCTCAAACAGATTGTCAAACTGCAGCGGGAAGGCCAGGGAGGGTTGGGGGGCAGGAGGGGTGGGGGTAAGAGATCAACCGAAGGACTTGTATGCATGCATATAAGCATAACCAATGGACATAAGACACTGGGGGGTAGGGGAGGCCAGGGGATTGTCAAGGGCGGGGGGGAGGGGGGGGAAGGACACATATGTAATACCCTTTGTAATACTTTAAGCAATTAAAAAAATAAATAAATAAATAAATAAAAATTTTAAAAAAAGATACCCCACTAGGAAGTGTTACCTTCTCCACTTTGTAGCCTTCAATGTGGCTCTACACATTGAGTGTACTCAAAAACATTTCCCTTAGTATCAACCATGTTAGTACATTGATTCATTCCTCAATTTGAGCAATGATAGACATAAAATTAGCTCTGCTGACTTCTGAAACTTTGGGAATGAGGAAATGAACTTAGCTTCTTAAATCTTTTCTGAATATTTTAGAAGAGACCCTTGCATTGCAAGATTTAAGTAAATATAAATACTCTTAACTCTAGGAATCTGGGTCAAAAGTATTAATATTCAGCTTTTCAAATTTTAATTCCTAACAAGAAGGATCATCTAATTGGGAAAAATCCACTCAGAAATATTTTGAAAATAATTCTGTATCTATACAGATCTTATTCTGGCATGTAACTTCAATTCTGAGCCAATATTTCATTTGTGAAACAGAGATAGCAGCATCAAATATTTTAGAGGGCTGTGGTGAAAATTATAGCCTGACACAAATAAATAGTAACAAATTATGGCTTTTCTTATTCACTTCCTTCTGATCTAAAAGTAGTTTGGTATAATAGGATTTTAATTCAAATCTTTTCTGCCACAAAAACTCTAATGACTTTCAAACTGGACCCTAAATATGAATGCTACATAAACCTGGTCAATGGATTCCAAATAAACATATTAGTAATTATAAAAACTCAAGCTCCCTCATTTATTGCACTTTAACTCAAGGAATGTTTAAAACACTTTTAATTTTATAAACACAGTATCAAGTTTACTTTATTAATATATGCTAATATCCAGTATCTTTCCCTCAGTTTCTCACAAAAACTCTAAAGTGTGTATTACATTTTAGATAAAGGTTACTGAAGCTCACCTCTCATAACTGTTTATTTTCTGTAGCTCCTCCTACCTGCCTCAGCAAAACAAGCTATGTAAAGAGATTATCTAGGTAGTACAGAGGCAAGTAGGACATGCAAAGGTCAAAATCATCACGGAATATATCCTGGAGACTCAAAATATAATTTTTTTACTTGAGTAATATGGAGCACATTAGATATTAGAAAGAGGCAAAAAAGAATATAATCACTCTTTTGATTCTGATATAATTTAACCCAAGCTTCTTTCATATAAGGACCCAGGTGGGAATAATCCCAGGTGGAAATTCACAGAATTTATACATAGAGGTTAATAGTAAAATAATAAATGAAACAACTCAATTTTAAAATTTTTGGTCACCAATGTGATTTGAGATGGAAAGCAACATATTCTGAAATAAAAATACTACTCAAGGAATAGGAAGATACAAACTTTTACCTACTTGCCTCATAACACCTTCCTCCTCCCACAAGGTCCATATCTTTTACAGAGCCACACCTTGTTTTATCTTTTTGTTTAACCCTTACAGGACTCTACTTGAGCGGATTTTCTTACATGGCTGCCTCCTTCCTCTGATTGGATTAAGAATGGAAAGTAGTCAAGAGTAACATTCATTATCAAGTCATGTTCATGCCCTAATTTTATACCCTTGTATCTATCATTAAACAATGTGATACTTGGGGAGGGGGTAACATTCAGGGTCAGGTGCCTATATAAGTGTTAGATAATCATTTGGGGTGATCATCAAAATAATTATACTTAATTATTTCTACACGATCACAGATTCATGTCTTCAGAAATTAATCAGCTCTCATGGGTGAGAATTTCAAAGATAACAAGCTCTCTTTGGGCATATGTCAGTCTTTAGTTTTAAATTATTAAGTAAATAAACATCCCATACAAAAAAAATAGTGTAGCTAAACAAGAATCAGCTACACTATTAGCCATTATAAGAAATAGTCTAGGTGTAATCTAAACAAATTTAGTGACTGCATATTTTCAGTAACTGCTTAGCAATATTTACTATGTGATATGATACTGCTATAAATTTCTTTGAAAGAAAATATAGGTATTAGGGAACATTTTCAAATAAAGGTTTATTAATAAGATAAACAAGACACAACTGGAACTGACAGAAAAAAACTTATATGTTCTTATAATACCCTTCACATCAAACTACCAAGGGCCACGTGACTGTTCAAACCTAGAATCTCAACCACCCTTTGATTTCAATCCCCCTTCCTCCCAAGAGTTTTTCTAGACTTCCCAATCCTAATAGAAAAGTCAATAAAGGCTATCTACTGGATATCTTTCCTAAAGAACAATCACCAACTTAAAATTCTTCTAAATAAGACAAAACCCCAGGCAGAAAATTAGCTTTAGAATGCTGAAACATTAAAGTGCAGACGAAGCATTTGGTCAAGGCATAGTGAACAAGATAATAAAAAAATTTAGCAACTGGACAGTACATCTGATAATATAATCTACTCTTCTGGCTTTACCGATTTGTAAGCCGAGATTCAAAAGGTTAAAGGACTTGTCCATGGACACAGATATGTTGGAGCACAGCCATGACTAAACAATTCTCATCTCCTAGTGCAATGTTCCCTTCAACAGTTTATACTGTAATTATGGTCATCACTCAGCCCTTCAAACTAAAATATAAACAGATACAAACCATGTTAAAAATAATAAATATATATATACACATATATATATATTTATACCTATGCCATGTACAAAATTTTGATGAATGCAGCAGCCTTCAACCATGTTATTTCTCAAATATATGACGTATCTAGCCAAACCTTACCTCTCCCATGATTCCACTGATGTGAAAAAAAAGTTTAGATATCAAATAAAAAATGTCTTAAAGAACTTCCATGTGTAGTTCATTAAGTTAAAAGCAATCACCCCTACATGACTGTTTAATTAGAAATGTTACACATAAGAAGAGGGCTGTAACATCAGGCAAGGAATGTTTGTGCTTCAAATTATTTACTGGCAAAGGAAATACTAAGTTAATAAAGGTAACATATATGATTAGGAAATAGGCAGTGGGGCGGGTCACTGTCCTCCTAGTCAGTTTTCTAATCTGTAAAGAGTTACAGAAATACAATCTTTGGCATAGGCCCAACATACAAATAAGTAAAAGTATAAAACTGAGGTTGTTCCAATTAGGGAGTTGGAGAGCCAGCCCTGCCGGACCTCTGAGGGCTCTGGAACCCCTAATGCGCAGCAGAGAACTGTTTACATGAGTCAATCCTCTTGACTCTTCAGAGCTGTTCGCACCTAAAAAATGGCTGTGTTTAAAATCCCCCAGGTGCACATTTGTAAAGATCAAGCCTCATTCCGCAAAACCATTTTTAAAATGCCTCCTTCCTTTCAATGTCAAAATCATTCACGGCGAGAAAGTAACCATCTCCCGCATTTTTACATCTCTGATCCTCTCCCAATCACTCATTTGAATGCGTCAGGCTCATTCTTTCAAATTTAAGGGGGGCGGGGGCGCGTAGGTTTCTCGGCTTGGACAACTGATGACCTCTGTGGGTTTTAAGTGCCGCGTGCTTCAGGAAAAGGAAAAATAACTCCGGGGGTGACATTTTCAAAACGCATCTAAAACTGCGAGTGGTGGAAGGCTCTGCACAGCCGGAGAATATTTCCAGTCGACAAGCAGAGCAGAACTACACCGCAACCAAACGCGAACACCGACAACTTTGACCCGCACAATTAGCACGGCTACAAAGAGAAGAAATCAGTGCGATTGCCTTCAATGGATCAGCTCGACGCCTGAATAATGAATGAGTCGGAGGCATCACTGACTTGAGTTCTGAATAAGCCTCGCTCTCAGCTCTGCGCCCTAGAAAACCTGAAGCAAATTCTACAGAATGTGATGTATCGAGGCCAAATTCGGTCCAAAGGAAGCCCCCGCCCCCCCTTCTCTCCGCGGACCTCCCTCCCACTGGTTGGAGTCCAGGGCGGCCAGGCGGGTGGGGGCGGCGGGAGCCCACTCGCCGCTCGGGAAAAGTTCCGCCGGGCGCTCGGGCCGGGCCGGGCCAGCCCGCGGCCCTCGCCCGCGTCGCCGCCTCCAACACCCCACCCGACCGAGGGTCGCGCCCCCTCCCCTCGCCGCCGCCGCCCCCGCCGCCCACACCCCGCCCCCGCCTCCTGGCCGACGCCCTCGCGGAGCATTAACCCCTCGCCGCCCGCCGCCCGACTCCGAGGAGGAGGCCGGGCCAGGGGGAGGAGTTGTCGCGTCTCCTCCCGGGAGCGCCCCGGCAGACGCCCGGCTTGTTTACAGGCCCCAGGCCCCAGGCCTGGCCGCCGCCGCCGCCGCCGCGCAGGCCCGCGCCGCCCGCCCGCCCTCGGCCCGAGCTTCGCGCTTACCCGGAGCAGCCGCGGGCGGGCAGGTCCCTGGTCGGCCGAGGCGGCGGCGGCGACGGCGGCCGGGGAGGGGGCGGGATGGGGGTCACCCAGGCGGCTGCGGACCAGGTCAGGCTGGGGAGGGGGCAGAGGAGGGGAGGAGCCGGGCTGCGTCCGGGCCCCCGGCTCTCGGCGCCCTCGCGGCTCAGATCATCCGGGCGTTGGAGCGGCAGGCGGAGAGCGGGTCCCTAAGGAGGAGGAGGAGGAAGAGCCGAAGATTCATCGCTTTCGCGCCCCACCTGCCTGGAGTGCCCCCCACCCCCCCTCCCCAACCACCGGTTCCTGAGCTGCAGCCGCCCGAGCACCCGAAGCTGCGGGCCGGGCCGGCCCGAGACCACTGCTCCCTCGCTCCTGCGCGCGCTCCCGCCCCTAGAGCCGCCGCCGCCGCCGCCGCCGTCTCGAGCGCGTACCCGCGCAGGCGCGCTCACGACGGAGCCCTGCTGCCCCTCCCCCACCGCCCCGCCCGCCCCGCCCCACCTCGCCCCGCCGGCTCCGCCGCCGCCACCGCCGCGGCGCGGCCGAGCTGCCGAAGGGACCCGGATGTCGTTGGGCAGGAACTGCGGCGAGGCCCGGCCCGCGGCCCGGCGTGGGCGGGGCGGCCGTGGATGACGCCACTCCCTACCCAGCTTTTCTCGCTGCGAAGGACGGGACGGCGGCCCGGAGTCGAGGAAGCGTTCGCGTCCCGTGTCGGCACTGGGCACCGGCGCTGGGCAGTGTCGCGACTGTCAGGAGCAGCGGCGGGGGATGGAGGTGGGGGGCGGGGGAAGAATCGAGGGCCTCTCCAACCTAGGCCGTTTGCTGTGTCGGACTCGGAAGCTCTCCCTCCGCGTTTCCACCTGTCTGCAAATCCACACCCCGCTCCCCGCCATGATGCCGTCCACGGAGCCCCGAGGATGGACCCTGCCCTTGCCACCTTTCCGGTGCGGCCCCGGGCTGTTCGCCGCCGGGCGGCTGTGTGTGGCTCGAATGCGCGCTGGGTTCTAGGCCGCCGCCAGACCCCCTCTCCGAGCCCCCCCCCCCCCCCCCGAACCCATTCTTCCCCAATGACCCCGGGAGGTGCCTGCAAGTACCCCAACCCCAAACCGAAGGGCGAAGACACACACACACACACACATTACCACCACCCACCCACCCTCATGCACGCACAGGGCACATGCTCTGAGGTTCTGGCAGGTTTTCCGTCCAGCTCGTGGGATCCCACATTGTATTTATTTGCACGTGTTAGTCACATGATTCTGACACTGGGAACCGCCAACGACCTCCAGCGAAATTAAAGAGGTTTTTCAGGAGCTCGAGTAGAATCCGAAACGTAGCAGCTGCTGCTGTGGAGAGTCAGGGGTCGACTGAACCTAATGGAAACTGCGCGCGGGAGGCGCGAGCCGGGCTGCGGGGACCCGGGACGGACCGCGCTGCCGCCGCGGGGATGGAATGACAAGCCCTGGGCGGCCAATGAGTCGGGGCCTGCGAGCAGTGCATCACCAGCGCGGCTTCCCATTGGCCGGGTGCCTCCCTTTGGTGTCAGAAGCTTAACCTGTTCATGGATTTGGCCCACACCGCATTTGCAGGAATAGAAGTTTAAAAGAAATATCCGTTGTTTGTTTTTAAAAGCTCCGGTATATACAAAGAGAGAAACAAACGTATACATTCGTCACTATAGTAGTACCTTAAAAAGAACACTGCAAAATATTAGCCAAATTGGGTTCTGGCCAATAAAATGGTAAATGTGTGATGAGGCCTCTCCATTTTATCTCAGGAGCTTACTATAGAGAGCAAGTTGTATCTCCTAAAACCACTTTGTTGCCCCAACTCTTAATTTTGTCTTTCTGTCATCAGCAACCATTTAGCTGCTTTTAGAGCTGTAAAAGCCATCTCCAATTTCTTCAACATGCCTTTTGGGGGCAGATTCTGTCTCTTTCACTTTTAGGGCTGGGACCTAACCACAGGGTCAAGTATCACCAAATGGTCACCGGCAACCAAATCTTTAAGGAACCCCCAAATCACTCTACCCAATATGTTTGAGGTTAGAACTTCTTAGAGTAAGATGAAGATGGATTATTTCCATGTGTACAAAGTAAAAATAAAATCCACTTATGCACTTAGTCCCAGTATCATGTGAGAACACATTTCCTAATTACCTCTTCACACACTTGCCAAAAGGGAAAAAAAAAAAAAAGGAAAATTAGATCAAAGATCTTTGAAACTGACTTATTGAAATCCCTACTACTTCAGACAAGTAATAGCATGATTAGCTCATGTGGCAACCAGTTTTTGGAGTGTCTTAGAAAACAAATTTTCTTATTCATAAGGCAGAACCAGGGTTGCCAATGGCAATAGTGGCAATGAACTTGAAGGTCTTGTCTGTCTTTCTACTTCCTTCCTTTAGGCCAGCGGTTCTCCCCTTGTGGATCGCGACCCCTTTGGCAGTCGAACGACCCTTTCACAGGGGTCGCCTAAGACCATCCTGCATATCAGATATTTATGTTACAATTCATAACAGTAGCAACATTAAGTTATGAAGTAGCAACAAAAATAATTTTATGGTTGGCTCACAACATGAGGAACTGTATTTAAAGGGCCAGAAGGTTGAGAACCACTGCTCTAGGCCATCCATATCTTTCTTCTCTCTGCTCTATATTTGTAGGAGAATCTGGGTCAATTATAGCAGAGGAGGAAAAAGAAATGCTGAGCATAAAGAGATTTTTTAAGGAGTCTGTACAGTGTAGCAAAAACTGCCAATAAAACTGCATTTTCCTCTACTATTTCTTGACACAGCTTGCAGGGACATTTTGGGAAACTAAGAAACTCATGGGTTATAAGATTAACATTTAAAAATTCGGAGCAAAGGTATATTAATATTGCCTGAATATATATGCTTGATATTATAATATTCCCTTCCTTATAATATTATTTTCCTTAAGTATTATACTAAATATTTCTTAAATAGCATACTATCTAGAAAGGGGCAAAAGGACATTGAAAAAATAATGTTAAAAGTTTTGTTTTCTTTTGAACTACAAGGATTTTCTTTGGCCTACACATGTGAGGGATGTTCATAGTTTTTGTGAAATAGTTTGAACAGACTGCAATAGCTGTAGTTTAGTAATTTTTATAGGTATATTTTTAAAACTATCCCAACTCTGCTTTGGAAATGTTTATATTTCAGTTACCAAAGAGGAAGAAGATTTTCTGACAGATTGGCTTTCAAGTCTTGAATTTAAGTACTATATGCTATTAGTCTAGTAATCGGGAGGCTTGGGTGGGACAGGGGCTGCAGTGAGGAGTCTAAAGCTTAGACTGATGAGTAATAATACTCTCTCTTCTTCCACAATCATGATTTTTTTAAAAGTTAACGTTCCTGATTCCAAAATTACTATTGCGAATCCACCCAGGAGAGTCACCCCTGCGACAGCTTTGCTTGGGCCTCTCAGAATAAATCTCAGCAATTTAAGTGACTCCTCAAGGGAACCCCTGAGGATCCCCCTCACCTGATCCATTCATCCTTTTCCACTGAAGCCAGTCACTACTCGAGTTACAAAGCCAAGCCGAACATAGGCTCAGCTCTTCCATCCTCCTCCTCCTCTACTACCTGTTTCATGTTTGTTTCTCGCGAACATCCTCTTCATTTGCCCTCTTCTCTCTTTTCTTTTTATTATGCTTTTCTTCTGTTTTCTTTTTTTCTCCCTTATCCTTTTCCCCATTCTTCGTTTCTCTCTTTTCTTTAGCTTAGTCCAAATTACAGCTTCTGCTAACCACTTTCTACTGAGGCAATGCATATTAGCAAATAGTGCCCCTACACTAATTTTGTTGGGGAGGGGTGCACCCTCACTCCAGTCCTCCTTCCTCTACCCCCCTTCACCCCAACATATCAGGTTATGAAAAACGTAGCTGTGGAAAGGACTGTTACAGAAGGAAAAGGATTAGAGAATTCTGTCCTGTGTGACATCACTGAGGCCCATTAGGGTGGAGCAGAGGGAGGTCAGCAGTCTTCTGTTGCCACTTGGGTCCTCCTGGTCCCTGAGAGCAATGGGCACTGTGAACACCACAGGCCAAGGCTTGGTTAGGCTTTGGAATAGGCTCTTGCCTCATGAGGACTATATATTGCTATGCCTGACAACATTGGTGTGGTTCTTGTCAGACAAGTTCATCTGTTCAACAGATAGTTATTGGGTGCTGGGTGCTGGGGGTAGGTAATGACACCACTGGGCAAATGCCCAGCTCCCAAGGAGCTGATATTATAATGAGGGATATAAACAAAGAAGTAAATAAATAAACATTGTGATCAGTGCTGTAAAAGAAATAAGGAGCTATATCAGGGAGATGGCTTGAAACAAGGAGTCCCTTTTAAGGAGGTCGCATTTGAGCTGAAGGATGAGAATCAGCTTTGCAAAGAATCACGGTGAGCTCTCCAGGCAGAGGGGCCAGCATAGGCAAAGGGCTTGACGTGGGAAAGACCTTTGGCAGCGAAAGAGTTGTCTATAGACCCAAGAGAAGGTCTGCAAATTCAAGGCAAATATTTTATAAAGTCACTCAACTTTAGAATTTCAACTTAGGATACTTGGGGTACTTAATCCAGTTTACAATTAGGAAACGGCCTTGAGCAGAGGGACACAATGCATACAAACTAACTTAGTGAATTGGTCTGGGCCAAAAAAGCAAAGCAGCTTGAAAAGTCAAAATTAAAAATCAAAGGACCTTTATGTAACTGTTGAAATTAAGAAGCATTCCGCAAACTCAGGGAGCGTTCTCTTCTGACAATCCAACAGCAGCTAAAAATGAGTAAACTGTAAACTTTGAAAACATTGTTTTTCTCCCAGTAAAGATAGCTGTTCTTAGTGAGTAAAGATTAGCAAAAATTTGAAAACTGATATTATAATGAGGGATATAGACAAAGAAGCATTTTTTTTTTCTGGGTGTTTACTGTTTAATGCGGGCAACACAGAAGATCTCAAACTAAACCATACCTTTGAAAGCTGCAATACATTTTGCATCCTTAACAATGGTGGGCTGTTTGAAAACCAGTGATGAAATGACCATCAACATAAAGGTCTTTTTCTATATCTGGCTCTGAACTTCCACTTAAACCAATCAATT